TTTGCCCTTCCTCTGACTAGCATCCCAGTTGCGCTTACAGATGCAATCAATTCCTTGCAAGAAACAACGTGACGCGCATTTGAAGCGCGCTTTTGAAGATTAAACTGTACACTTCCAGGATGCTATGGTAACGTGGCCAGCAACCCGCACAGACCGAGACATTAAAGACTCTCTGTTCGAGCAGCGGAACTGAGACGTCTTCAGGTGTTTGACAGCTGTTGTCTCATGTGGGTTGCTGTCGGAGAATCCGTAACGATGCAAATAGAAAGCGAGTGTTCGGTTGTGTAGCGGGGACTTCTGGTGAAGAATGTATCCAGCGCCAAAAGCTGCGATAGTTAGGTCATGAGTTGCGCATACCGAACCATCGTTTTCCGAAGCGAATGCTATTTTTCATGCCCGTTACAGAGCGGGGGAACTGCGGCGGGGGCCAACCCTTCACCTGGCAGAGGGACATGAAGGAAGTTACAAAAAGTATGGGTGCTACTCGTCTTCCAGGATGGAGTCGGTGTGATCCCCACTGCGCCTGGTTGGGGGTACTGCAAGATAAGCCTGCCAATCGATGTCATTGGCGTTCTTGTCAGCTTTTATCCAGATTGCCTGAATGACTGTGTGGATGTGTATGTACGTCGGAATGATTGTAGTAAGCTAACACTAAGTCCTCTCCCTGTTCACTTGTATTCTTTTCGCAATAAGACTTTCAAATAGATAGTGGTCGTACGGCAGCGAGGCATGTGTTGAACGCTGATTTTTATGTTGTTGTTGCTGTTGTTGTTAATGATGATGATAATGATGGCGATGATTGAGGACCTTTTGAGCGATGAGAGTGGTCATGCCGGATCCACTTCTACAGCATCCACTTCTTACCGTAGTTGGACGTTTTGGGGACTATTGTGTATCCCTTTAGTCAAGCGGGTGGATGGGTGAAACATATAACTGGTGGATTGGACGCTGGATATACTGTCTGCTTTTGCCCTTCCTCTGACTAGCATCCCAGTTGCGCTTACAGATGCAATCAATTCCTTGCAAGAAACAGCGTGACGCGCATTTGAAGCGCGCTTTTGAAGATTAAACTGTACACTTCCAGGATGCTATGGTAACGTGGCCAGCAACCCGCACAGACCGAGACATTAAAGACTCTGAGCATTAATGTTGTTGCTTTATTGAGATTAGAATTAACTCTGTCCATTATTTGGGGCCTCAGTCCGCATTCGCTGCTCATGTGTCCCTGGAAGTCACAAGGTAACAACGATTGGGCGTGGCTTCGGAAGCCACTCCTGTCCATCCCATCCTGGTTACTTGTTGGCTTCGAAGTTTATTCAAAGTGAACACAAGAAATCTGGAATACCAACTCACTGAACTTCTTCGCACGATGCACAGAGTTTCTATCCAGATTGCCTGAGTGAATGTCTGGAGGTGTAGGCACCTCGGAATGATTGTGTTAAGCTAGCACTAAGTCCATCCCCCGTCCACCTTTACTCTTTTCTTTACAATAAGGCTTTCAAATAAGTCATGGTTGCACGGCAGTGAAGCATCGGTGTTGAACACTGATGTCACGCTGTCGATAATGATGATGATGATGTAAACAAATTGGTGTTCATCAGAGATACCCACTCTCTCCGTTCGTGTTTAATTTCGTAACCGACGAGATAATGGGACAAACTCTGTAAGGTCTTCAAAACCCAGGTGTTCATGTAGCTTGTGACGAAAACCTTGTTGACCTGGAATATGCAGACGATATCGTTCCCATCTTCAAAGAGGAGGATCAGGCGCAGGTGTTTTTGGACGAACTACTCAAAACCATCTCGTCCTTTCGCATACAGTTTTCGCCCCCAATGTTTAAGGTTATTGTCTTGGAAATATAGTCACTGAACACGCCACTTACAGTCGAGGGAGAGAGATACTCGAATTTATGGAGCGTTTTACGTGTCTTAGAAGCTGCATTAGTTCCGATAGATGGTGTTAGTGTAGTTATTGCAACCCTCGGGTCGCGTTTGCTAAGTCTAGAAAACTATGGCGGTAGGGTGGCATATTTCTAAATCCAAAGGGATGTATGTATCAGGCTACGGTTCGGTTTTGTACTGCTGAGACATGGTCTGTTCGAGCAGCGGAACTGAGACGTCTTCAGGTGTTTGACAGCTGTTGTCTCATGTGGGTTGCTGTCGGAGAATCCGTAACGATGCAAATAGAAAGCGAGTGTTCGGTTGTGTAGCGGGGACTTCTGGTGAAGAATGTATCCAGCGCCAAAAGCTGCGATAGTTAGGTCATGAGTTGCGCATACCGAACCATCGTTTTCCGAAGCGAATGCTATTTTTCATGCCCGTTACAGAGCGGGGGAACTGCGGCGGGGGCCAACCCTTCACCTGGCAGAGGGACATGAAGGAAGTTACAAAAAGTATGGGTGCTACTCGTCTTCCAGGATGGAGTCGGTGTGATCCCCACTGCGCCTGGTTGGGGGTACTGCAAGATAAGCCTGCCAATCGATGTCATTGGCGTTCTTGTCAGCTTTTATCCAGATTGCCTGAATGACTGTGTGGATGTGTATGTACGTCGGAATGATTGTAGTAAGCTAACACTAAGTCCTCTCCCTGTTCACTTGTATTCTTTTCGCAATAAGACTTTCAAATAGATAGTGGTCGTACGGCAGCGAGGTGTTGGTTGAACGCTGATTTTTATGTTGTTGTTGCTGTTGTTGTTAATGATGATGATAATGATGGCGATGATTGAGGACCTTTTGATGAGAGTGGATAATGATGGCGATGATTGAGGACCTTTTGAGCGATGAGAGTGGTCATGCCGGATCCACTTCTACAGCATCCACTTCTTACCGTAGTTGGACGTTTTGGGGACTATTGTGTATCCCTTTAGTCAAGCGGGTGGATGAGTGAAACATATAACTGGTGGATTGGACGCTGGATATACTGTCTGCTTTTGCCCTTCCTCTGACTAGCATCCCAGTTGCGCTTACAGATGCAATCAATTCCTTGCAAGAAACAACGTGACGCGCATTTGAAGCGCGCTTTTGAAGATTAAACTGTACACTTCCAGGATGCTATGGTAACGTGGCCAGCAACCCGCACAGACCGAGACATTAAAGACTCTGAGCATTAATGTTGTTGCTTTATTGAGATTAGAATTAACTCTGTCCATTATTTGGGGCCTCAGTCCGCATTCGCTGCTCATGTGTCCCTGGAAGTCACAAGGTAACAACGATTGGGCGTGGCTTCGGAAGCCACTCCTGTCCATCCCATCCTGGTTACTTGTTGGCTTCGAAGTTTATTCAAAGTGAACACAAGAAATCTGGAATACCAACTCACTGAACTTCTTCGCACGATGCACAGACAAGCTGTCACGACATCAGCTTGAAGTATAACTGCCCAGAGCAGTAGGCTAGAAGCCCATAAAATGGACCTGGGAGACTAATGCTCCATCGGAACGCGTCATAGTGACGTCGATGGGTAACTACTTCAGTCGCTGTTTTGCGCAACGACTTTCTTTTTGTGGTACTCTTCAGTAACTACACAACACTGGACGGAAACAGATTGTACGGTTAGATTGTATGGTTAGATTATGCGACCATGTATCAGATTACAGACCATACTGTAAACTCTCACTAGGACCTGCTTTGTTCAAGAGTCCGTTTTTTGGTGCATGATGCATGATACGGCAGTGAAACATCAGTGTTGAACACTGATGTCATGCTGTCGATGATGATGATGCATGACGCAGATGTAACTAATTCATTTAGTTCGATAGGTCCAACCAGAAGTACTTCTTAACTACATTCACCGGACGCATCGCAGGGCCGTAATTGTACCTCCAAGGTGCTCTGCAGTCTGGAACCACATCATTGGTTGACTCCACCGCAAATACGGTCGCTGGATATCTACTCGGTCCTGGAGACGATAGTTGGCACCCTAATAGACCATGACGAAGACTAAGCTCGCTGATGTTGAGGCTGGGATTTGCCACTTGTCTTAGACCTGACCGCACTTCTTGTTTGTCCCATCGGGTATTAGATGTGTGCCATTGGGTGTGTTCACAGGCTTTCCTGACTGATTGAGGCAAATGGTCCAAGAAAATCGACTAATAGCCACTCTGTCCAAGGAGAAGTGGTGAGTTTCGCACCAACGAACAAAGGCGCGTTAAATGATGATTTAAACATTTTGGGTGCAAACTAAATGGTTCTGGGTCATAGCAGTCACCTTCCACCTCGCCGTGTCCAATAAATGTCGACTTCCTCCTCATCTGAAGTTCCCCGAAAAGTTCAACACTTGAAGGCACAAGGCTTCGGATTCAGACCAACTGTCGCTCTCCTCATTCATAGATGGAATACCCTCTCAACATGTGCCGTGTTTCTCACGTTGTTCGACCGCCCGATTCACTATCAGTCGCATTTTGAAAATGCCCCTACTCAGGGCACAATAACCTACACGAAGAATTTTATTCCTATTGGTAGCTGCTGGCTTCCTGGATAAGTCCACCAACGGCAGACAATTCAGTGGTGGAGCGTGAAACATGTTTTCGACACCAACTGAATACCCTTCCTGCATCAAGTTTGCTCTATATACCTGGCTATCTCAGGAATATTTCACCACCAGAAATATAGCCCCTCACCTCAGACTGTCTAAATGGAACTTTCGCAAGTTGCTGCACCACATCAATGATGACCGCCTCCTTGTCCCTTCCTTCGATGAGTTAGAATTATGCGATTGAAAGCCGATAAATCGACATCGATTGTCATACTTAGTGCTGCGTCCCCTCTTGAAGAACAATGGAATGTGGATCTGGCTGGAAGTTGCCGAAGAAGATTTAATTACTCTGTTTGTTGTTACCATCGTCTCTTGCTTATACTCTGCTACCAGTAGATAGGGATTATTCGCGTGTCTTCTAACCCATTTTTTCTGCATTTCTTCATCTGCCACCCCTATCCTCAAGAGCATTCCAGCTTATGGCTTCTCACACTATGACCACAACTTGACTGAGTGACCGAGCCCTTTGACATGGATAAAAAGAAACTGGACTACTTCTACGACCTCCTAAATTCTACCATCTTATGTCACCAGGTAAGCTATCCTAATTTCTGTATTCGGATTCGCAGAATACAATCACTGGATTGATTCCTTCCTGTCCAAGTAGTTCTCATGCGTGGGTGCGTGACAACACCTATGCATCATTATCAATTTGGGGACTTGCACTCGCCTATCGCAAGCTGCCGGATGTTGACGAAGACCGGTCACGCAGCTACGAGCTGGAAAAGGTAACCCATTTGCATACGAACTATTTCTTGTCCTGTAGTGTGTGATCAAGTTGATGAGAGGGATTTTGGTTTGCTACATGAAGCAAGCAGACAAAGTGGAAACACTCAAGAAGTTTGAAGATCCCAAGCACTCTCTGCATGCGAAGTTTGATGCCAACACATGCAAAACTGTCGTTGGTGACAATGAATGGGGCCATCTTCAGATTGATGCTGTGTCAGTCTATCTCCTGACACTCGCTCAAATGACTGCATCAGGTCAGTTTTGTAACAGTTAGCTTATTTATCCCTCCAGGGATTCGCATCATATGGACTACTGAGGAGGTCGCCTTCATACAAAACCTGGTGTTTTACATTGAACATGCCTATCGAATACCGGTAAGCAACTTAGATCAGATAATGGATTGCTCAGGATTATGGTATTTGGGAGAGAGGCGATAAAACAAATCATGGTTTGCCAGAATTGAATACTACATCCGTTGGAATGGCCAAGGTAAGCTTCCTGTTTTCTTCTGAGTGCAGAGATCATGTTCTTCAATCTTTGTCTACGCTTAGAAGGCTCCCTTTAAACTCGTGTCAAGCTTTCCCATTTCCGTCTTGACAAATGTATCTGAAAAGAACAGTGGAGTTTTCGTTACGGTTTAGCACATTGGTTTCGGTTAGGTGGAGCCGTATTTGTGTTACCAGTGATTCGTTCGATAGCTTCTCGAATACAAATAGATACTGCAACTAATAGCTGGAGTTCCTTCTTGGTCGTGACTCCTTGGAACGGAAATCCAGCCTTGGAAGCTGGTTCGTCCGTTATCATTACCATGTCAAATTGTGTCTGGGCTGAGTAAGAGAACGAATTATGGTTTTGACTTGGATACTTTAATCAGAACGTAGTTGAATAATTTCCATTAGATTGTATCGTGTGATGAGTCCCATAACGATAATAGAATGTATGACTTAATGAGTTCCGGACTTTTAGGTTCTATACCCCTAGTTGTTTGTTGCTTACCGTGTACTCTAGCACGAAGTGCCGTCTCTCTGCCAAAGTATATACTTACGTTACTGATAATAATTATGTGCCCCCAAACATTTGTACACGACACTGACAGCGAGTTTTCTTCCCTTTCATGTAATCCATGTTTATGCAGCCTGACCAATGGCTGTAACCTTGGTGTTGTGGTCGAGCCTCAGTGCTGCAATAACCTCGCGAGGCACATTGGCTGTAGCTTCGTTTCATAAGGTTTAGCAATGTACAAAAAGCAAGGAACAACAGCTTGGCCAAGGGGAGCTAGCAATGGAGATACTACCAGTAGTTCCAGAGACTGAGTGAAATCAAACCCAAACCTCATGCTTGAACACCAGCCAATCAACGTGGTATTTAAACTTATCTACCTGGGCAGTTTTATAAGTTCTTGCAGACTAGCTAATGATGAGGGCATTTCTAGAGTCTGGATTATCATGATAGCTTTTGCTGACCTTCGTTACCTATGGCGTCGGCTTGGTATCAGTTTGTCATGGGCAGAGTGCACACTGTGGTAATTCGGTGCATGTTGCTCATTGGATTAGAAACGTGGTCTCTGCGAACAGAAAACACTCTAAAACTCACTGTTTGAAAGTCCATGCGTCTGAAGTATTGACCAAGTTTGGTGGGAGCATCCAATTATCAATGCTGAAGTGGTTTTAGGGAGAAGTAATAGTCCCATGGTAGAAAAGCAAATTGCGCTTTATAAATTATGGTGGTCAGGCTAATTACTTCACGTGTCACAGGACCGTCTGTCCCACTGAGTTTGTGCGCTCACCCGTTTGCTGACTGAGCTACTGAGAGACGAGTACGTCATGGTCTGGAACTAAACGTGGAAACCCCAAACAGTAAAATCGACCGAGTTGGCAACTGACCTGGTAATCGCTTCATCGATGCTTATTGACACTGGCAGGTATGGTCCAATCACTCATTCGGTGTTTTCTATCAAAGCTATCGCTGCTAAGTTCCTCACCATATCAGGTGACTAGAATGATTCAACATCAAGTAACTGACATGAACACTGTCTCTTATACTTGACTGTCTTCCCGGATCCCCATTTTTCGTTGACCGAAACCATGGCAACCTGAGCTAACACATCCCTGGTACGTGGTTTGTAAATGACTGAGTGTACATGTTCGTATGCTATCAAGAAGCTCTTTGAGCAGTTCTCATAAGTACTTAGTTTATTCCAGGTTGTCTTGTACGGACAACAGTATGTGGTCAACCATGATAGTCCTGGAGTCATGCAAATTACGTTCGCGAAAACTGTACCTTCATGATAAGCCCTAAGAAGAATGAAACTGGTCGTGGACTGTCGAAGAGTTTTCAGCAGCCTTATGAGTTGTGTTCCTTCAAGGCCACGCAGACGCCCTTAATATCGGGTTATTAATTACGGCAATTGCGACCGTGAACAGCTGATTCAGGCCATCTCAAGCCGGTAAGATAGTCCCAATTGTACCCTTTGTGTGAGCTCCGACTGCGGACGGAATTCGAAAGTATTGTGATTTTAGGTACACGCACACGGTATCCTAACGGACTTGTGCGCGATGTTTGATGATGAAATTATTGTTTGAGTTCCGGACCCTGTGTTAGGATGTACTCCGCAAAGTATTCTGTTATTTTCACAGGTTAGCTAACATCCCACATCGAGTGTCCTTGTAAAATCTTACTGCCTCTCAAGATGGTGGTTTGTGCATAAAGTGTGTAGTAGCCACTTTCACCTAGATAGGAACTAAAAGTTGAGTCCGATATAGTCACCACACCTCGAGTACGTTTTGGCGGTAAAAGTTTTGACGCATTTTAATGTCCTCCCCACAGGATCTACGCCCCCAGACATTCCAGGGACGACACACCTATCTCCATCCCAGAACCCTTTAAACTGGATCAATTCAGTTCACTCTCATCTTCCTCTGTATCCCCATCCACCTCTCAGTCAACCAATACATGTTCACGCTTAGTTGGGCTACCTACCTCACGACGCTGAATAAATCAGACGAGAGAGCATTTTTGGCAGTTGCTAATCTCCCTTCCCTAGACTTTATTTAGTTTGCAGCCGACTTCTGGTTGGTTCCACCTATCAAGGTCGTAGCTGTTACTTGGCTTCAATAAAAGGGCGCCACTCGTTGCCTCTGCAATCCCTAGCTTTATAGCACATGTTGTCAAGTCTCAGTACGTTAGTCCAGGTCTGAATGGTTTTACGGAGAAACGATCTGTCGCTATCGAACTGTACTAGCTTATCGTACCCTCTTTCATAAGACTCCTCTGCAAGTTTTCAGCCCACTTGTTACCGCAAATGACCCTGAAATTCACATCCAAGAGTGGGTGCAGAAAAGACACGCATCACCAATTAATACTTTTACAGGCAGAGGGGTTTATCCTTGTCATCAGAACAGTACAGGTGATATTTTCATACATCTGTTAGTAACCTATATTAAACTATTGTACAGGCGCAATACGGTACTCGTAAGGTTGCTGAAAACTCTTCGACTACTGACGACCGGTTTCGTCTTTCTTGGGGATCATCAGGTAAGCCCAGTCCCCGAGTTTTTGTCAATTTTATACTCTACTTGAACCCAAATTGTACGGAATCCATTCTACGCACGTGTGTATACTAATTTGGTTTTAACGTGTGACTCACCTGGAACCTAGCTGAATCTCTCGTTTACGATGTCCTCAATCATCTGAATCTAATGCACCAGGTCGCCTCATTTTACAGCTGGTACGATATTCGAGATATTGCAAACCATTCAGTTGAAGAACATTGTAAACAAGGGATTCATCTGAGTTCCTGGTGATTCTCACGTCAAGACATAAGCTATAATCTATTGTTTTATCGTTCAGGACCTTGCATAAAAGGATCGGCGAAGCCTGCCGTTCAAGCTAGATAGTAATTAAATTCAAACGACGGGGACTCAACCGGAGTTTCAGATAATTACCGCAAATTTTTCTCCATTGATCTCAAAACCTTTTAGTTTGGCATTCTTGCTTGCATATGTGTACAAGCTGCACACGATTTGCAGTTGGTGATAGCGATGATGAAAGTGACAAACAAAACGGGACCTATAGTGCTGCCGGTAGACAAGATTGAATGCCAGTTTCTCGTAATAAATTCCTTCGCAGTTTAATGTGCTGTCTTTGGCCACCATGAATACAGTTACCAGCAGTGATTTCTAAACTTGCATTCTGAAAGTACCCGTAAAATGGTGCCACGCAGTAATCTACTGTGACAGAACTGACGTGGGCTACGTACAGGGATAGCGAAATGTCCAGTACAGCCTATCGTTGGTATCAGTGCCGTTTTGGCTTCTGTTTGGTGGCATCAGCTTGTTTATCCGTACCAGTATCAGTTGACATATCTCGGCTGGAAACTGTATGCATTCTGTACCGTGACTATAGTCGAACTTACCGGCTCGAATATCCGTGGTCTGAGCCCAACCTCGGCATTTCGATTGCTCCTATTTAGGCTTGGGCAACCTGGCAGTATCCCAGCCTTCGTGCTTTTTTAGGTGGCTTGGTAACTATGCACCGAAAGGTTGTTGCAACTGAACGTCAAGTACTCATAGGAGGGTCAAATATCAATGGGGTACACCTCTTTACATAAAGCAAGGTTTTATTATCATTTATTTTTGAAGAGCATGGTCACAAACATAAAAAGTGAGTGCAAGCGATGAATGCGAAAGAGTAACGGGAGTATATGGGAGAAAAGAGAGAAACGTCTCATTCGAAATCATGCCAAGGACAGTGCCAGTCTGATGAGGTGAATCCCAAAGCATGTAAAGATTTTGGTATGGGAACACGCGTCTAAGGACCAACAACTACTACATAAACCCTACACAAACTGCTATGGTGCCCAACAATCAACAAATCCAAGCTGTAACAACCTTTCGGTGCATAGCTGCCATGCCACCCGAAGGAAACACGAGGGTTGGGACACTGCCAGGTTGCGGAAGCATAAACAGAAGTCGAGATGCTGAGGCCGGGTTCGAAACATGAACCTTTCGGTCAGTAAATTCGCGCTCTAACCACTGAGTCATCTCGTCCCCAAGGTAGCTTTCAAGTCAGGCAAGGCAGCAAACTATAAGCAGCATCAGTTTTCATGATCTGGCGTAGAATAAAGATGCAACTGGTGTATCGTCTTGCAGGACGGAACCCAGTTTTTTTCATGGAGTTCAGTCAACCTTTTATAAGATGAGACCAAAAGGCGTCTTCGATTTACGAGCTACCAGGCTATTCCTACTACAGTTTTCACGTTATACTCAGGACTGGAGATAGCTCAATGGTTAAGGCGCCAGCTTACGTACCGGAAGGTCCGTCGTTAGAACCTAACCTCAGTATCTCCACTGCTTCTGCCTAGGCGGTATCCCAGCGCTTGTACCTTCCTCTGTTGGCATGGCAGGTGGGCACCAAAAAGATGCTATGGCTGGACGATTTGATTTGATTCCTCTGTAAGGATAGAGACTACGGTGGATGTGCTCCATTCT